CACACACACACACACACACACACACACACACACACACACACACACACACACACACACACACAGGTTTGTTTTTGTGAAAAGTGGGGAGATCCCATAGGCGTAATGGTTTTTCAAACTGTACAGACCGTATATTCTATTGCCCTACACCAACCCTACCCCTAAACCTACCCCTCACAGGAAACTTTCTGCTATTTCAGATTTTCAATACACTCCATTCGGTGTGATTTATAAGCGTTATGAAAAGTGGGGACATGGGGTAATGTCCTGAAAAGTCACCTTCTCCTTTTAATACCTATGTCATACCTTTGTCATTATACAAATTTATGTCCTCATTTGTCACAAAAACAAAAACACACACACACTAATGCGGAGATAAATCACTGTGTAATCTATTTGAAATAGTTGTTTTAAAGATGAACTTGCCTTGTCACAGAACAGCTTGGCATTTACTTTTTTTTCAATAAATGTAAAGATGCGAGAAAAACGCAATCACCGCTGGTTAATTGCAATTAACATGTGATTAAACATAACGAACGACGAATCTTACAGTGGGTTAAACAATACGCTGTATTTGATATTCTGGAACTCATTTAAACACATAACCCCGTTTAAGTTTATAAAATCAGATCAATCCGTTACCATTAGCTAAACAAAATAAACAAGTGTCTTGAGTATACAGCACTGTTTGTAAGTAATAATTCGATTGATATTATTCTGAGATAAAGTCAGACACTGGAAGACTGAAGGAGGGGAAACTTGAGTTATGAATCCACCTCAGACTACTGTTAACTGACGAATGACTACTAGCCTAATTGATTTAGCATTTCATACCTTTCACGACAGCGTTCTGGTTGCTTGAAACCTCTTCAGCTAGTCTCCATCTATGTTTAAAGCATTATTACACGTCCAAGAATAGATTCGACCATGCTTTGATCAGCCTTTCAAAGTTGTTGCTGGTAGCCTATAAATACAAATAGTTTTTTTTCCCAGAATGAAATTGATAAAACAATGGACTGTTTGCAACACGATTCTCAAATCATGATGTAAAAATCTTACAATTAATTACATTTTTGATCCCCTGACGTCGTTTGTTTGTTTATTTATTTTGTATTTATTGAAAAAAATATTTTCTAAAATGCTTGGGTCAGGATAATGAGAGCAGTATTTAGAACTAAGACATACAAAATGATAAACAAAATACGAAATGAACTAACAAACATTGATTAAAATTTGAGGGAAACAATTGACCAATTATAAACTCTTTATAATGTTGCCTGCAAAGTGGTTCCCTAAATCATATAGGCCCATCTTTATCTTCCAAAAAAAAGGGAAAAAAAATATTGTTAGTTTTTATTACATTTACGGTTGAATCAACAATAGTATTATGTAGGCAATAATAGGCACCATGATCATTTTCGTAAGGACTATTTACATAACCACAGACTGACCGGGGGGAGCAGTTTGATGGACAGCTAATGAGGCTCGCGCGGAGAGGCCCTCACGAGGCACCTCATTCATAAGCGCGCGGTATCAGCCGTCCCCTCATGAGAGACAAGCATTAAACCCAGCCTTAACCCCCAGCGTTTAGTAGCCGCTGGAACACTCAGGATGAACCTATTCCAAATCATGAAGGGATCAGCAGGAGATTAATAATGCTCAATCATAACGACTGCGCAAGAGACACCCTTCGCTACCTCTCCCCCAATACTGTTGCTGCGCTCATCTTACCTTGTTATTAGACGAGCCACACGTCTAATAGTGACATAAATCTTCCTATTATATTCAAAGTATTCAAAAAGAATAAAGATTCTACGTTTGCTAGGATAAGATTCTACTAGGATATATTATAATATTTAGAAACGTTTAACGATTTCTCTTCCTCTTTTCGTTTTGCACACCATCATGACATCTTCATTTCAACTCTATTTTCCTCACCTAACCTAACTAAATTCAAAGTGGTTGAAAAGGTGTATCACTGAAAGCTGATATGGCAAGCCCTTTTGACTTTTATTCATTCTCAGGATATGAATTCTTGATATCAACAATTCAATTTTTACTAGTTAAAATGTTAATTCTTGATATCAGGAATTAGATTTCTACTAGTAACAATGGCTATTTTTGATATCAGCAACTACATTTCCACTAGTAACAATGTTAATTCTTGATATCAACAATTACTTTTCAACTAGTAAAAACTATAATTCTTGATATCTGTAATTGTATTTTCACTAGTTAAATGTCACCATAGGCTGCCATTCAAAATCAATTGTTGATATCAAGAACTGA